TGCTGGACACCCGCGTTAATATTATGTTAATTATAAGAACGTATGTGAAAGCACATATCGCAGTTCAGGGTTGATGTACTATTAGAAAATTATGTAGATATGTATTTCTTACATGGCAAATATGACGCCCATTACGCTATACTTACAATATACGTGATTAGTAAATAAATATATCTCCCATAAGTCGATAAGATAATTGAAAAGCATTTAAAATAGATTTACCTGGTAGATTTGGTCATTACCGAACGCACAAAAATAAAATAAGCTTTTGTCATTCTCGAAAACATTATCATCGAGCAAGATACCATGGAACACTCAGAAATGTAATAAATCCATGATTAATAATAATAATAATATTAATTCGTCCTCAAACTATACACTATACACCGAAAAATAGTATCGAGACAAATGAATGAAGAACCCGCAGGTGTGCGTGGATAAAAAAATACAAAATACTCCAATACAACGACATTACTACACGATATGGTTTTCCTTATTCTAATGTAACATATGCTTTTTTTGGCGGAGACAAAAATCTCTGAGTCTGCACCGATTAAACATCCTAACTTCCCAAATTACGAGGTGCACCGTTACCACCGAGAGTACCAGGCCTGACAACAGACGCGTGACGTCACCACGAGTAGGCCGGTCGGCCGGCCGACAGCACGGCGTGCCGTACATCAGCGCTAGTGAATATATTATTGCAGCAGATTTAATATACTCTACCTGATGTAAATAACGGATAATTCAGAAAAGAGTTTTTGGTATATGAAGGCAACTTGGTGGAAAATATTAAAGTATCCATCCAACATTACGTGCACATTAGATTAATAAGTTGATGTTATAAAAGCTTGCTAAAAATGATATATTCTTCAACGAATAACCCCATGTTAGTCACAACCGATCAACAAAATTTCACAGGAATATGTGGACAATTTACTATTATTATAGGTATAATATAATGGTACTTGAAAATTATATAAAAAATGTAGTGCTTGTAGAACAGTTGTGTCCAGCAAGAACTAACGAGGAGGTCTGAGGTAAGCTCTTGCCAGGAAAGGAATAAGGAAGATGAGGAGGAAAAAGTGTAGGATAAATGATAAGAAAAACAGATAAAATCAAAGTAAAATAAACAATAGAAAAAACATAACAAAGATTAACGAAAACTTAATAAAAACTCTTAGAACAAACAAATAACAGCACAAAATAATAACAAAAATTTGAAAACAGAAAACAAGTATCAAAAATAAAATAACAAAAATTAGAATAACGAAAATTAAGTGCTAAATTCTGAATATGTACAAATAAACATTTATCTGCAGCTATGTAAATGTTTCCGCCTCATGTGAATGTAGTCAATTTACGTTTCTTTGCTTTATACGCGCTTGCAAAGCTGTCGTTCCTTTTGGCACAATAATTTTTCAAAAATGTATTGACTGTGCAAATAACGATTAGTTTTCTAACATAATCTGGTGAATGTACTGTGCAACGCGAAAATGAAGTGTCGTGATTATTATCACTCAGATTGTTAATTATCAACTGAGAAAGAGCGCGTCTCTTATCAGTGATTTCTAAAAATGACTCCTCGTCACTTTCCAAAACTTTATTGAAAATTATATAACTTAGCATGACAATATTAATAACTGGATTCTTTGGGAATTTTAAGCCACCTCTACTCAAATTCTGTATAATATTGTGCTTGTCTTCTATATCAATATCATCTGTGTGTGTCAAATTTTCCTTACAATGATCGCAGTGATTTTTCTTTAATAAGGCATAACAACAGTAACCAGCTAAGTAGGTGATGACAGGGATTTCATCCTTTATACTATCAATATCAGACTGTAAAATTTCAATTTCCCGGAAAAAGTGGTACCGTGAAATGGGGTGAATAGAAACTGCTGGGTGAATAGCAACAAAAACGGGAAACTTCTTTTAAAAAAAATCAACATTGGAATTAAACCTCCCAACGCTTCAAATTTGTTCTCAAACGGTCAACAGATGTCGCCATAACTGCTTTAACAGGCCAAAGATGTTTTATGCTGGCAGCCCTGATTGCAGTAGCAACCACCCGTCGGAGTGAACACATGAGCCTTTTTCATCACTAGCAAAACTTTATTCACAGTGGTTAGCTAAAAACAGGTAAGACATTGAGTTTTTGGTTAAAGTAGCTTTAAGGTGTCTGGTTCACATTGCCTATTTCAGAAATTGCTTGTCTTGCTTATTTTTTTTGCTATGATGTAATATAATACATAACCACACTTTTAAGTAATTTTGGGGTGAATAGAAACACGCTGTTTCTATTCACCCGCTGTTTCTATCCACCCCATAACTGTTTTTTCTTTTGCAGGAAAATGCCTCGCGTTTATAAACCAGACCCTCGAGGTAAAACATATAAGAAAATTGATGAAAAAACTCTAAAAATAGCCCTTGCTTCAATTGACAACGGGATGAGTTATAGAGTGGCTCACGAAACATACAACATTCATTATTCTGTGCTTTATCGGCACCACAAAAACCGAAATCTGAAGCTTCATGGAGGACAAACAGCCCTAACCAAACAAGAAGAAGATATTTTAGTCCATCAACTAATAGTTTGTTCCGATTGGGGGTATCCACTTGACCATTTGGACGTCAGGATGATGATAAAAAATTACCTAGACAGTAGAGGTAAAACAATAACGAGATTTAAAGATAATATCCCTGGCAGAGACTTTGTCTATTCTTTTTTAAAACGTCACAAAAATGAATTAAGATCTAGAATCTGCCAAAACATCAAGCGCTCAAGAGCTGCTGTTTCTCCCAATACTATCAATGCTTATTTTGACAATTTAGCCACGGAGTTGAAAAATGTACCGCCATCAAACATAGTAAATTACGACGAAACAAATTTAACTGACGATCCGGGTAGAAAGAAAGTAATCTCGAAAAGGGGCTGTCGCTATCCAGAACGTATTTGCAATACGTCGAAGTCAGCCGTTTCTATCATGTACGCTGCTTCAGCTGATGGAAAATTTTTCCCACCATACGTGGTTTACAAAGCTAAAAATTTGTATACATCTTGGACAGTTGGAGGACCAAAGGACGTCAGATTTAATAGAAGTCCATCAGGTTGGTTTGATGCGATTTCCTTCTCAGATTGGGTAGAGAGCACTGTCATACCTGCAGTAAAAAATCTACCGGGAAAGAAGTACTTAATTGGCGATAATCTGAGTTCACATTTTTCTGCAAGTACGGTATCTCTTTGCGAAGAAAATAATATTTCATTTATATTCCTCCCGGCTAACTCTACTCATCTGACCCAGCCTCTGGACGTGGCATTTTTCCGGCCTCTTAAAACAGCCTGGCGACAGATCCTTGAAAAATGGAAAATGGGGGCTGGTTCAAAGCATTGCACGGTTCCAAAGGACAGATTCCCTTTCTTGCTAAATGACTTGTCAAAGGCTATTGAGCCTAATGCTGGAAAAAATATACAATCTGGCTTTAGAAAGTGTGGAATTTTTCCACTAAATAGGGATCAAGTCTTGGGACGCCTTCCGCAGCAAAATCTTGACGAGACAAATGATGAGAATCAGAACATTGAAGAAGGACTTAATAACTCTTTGGTAAACCTTCTAAGAACAATGAGATATGGCGATGGTCAAAATGTGAAGAGTCGACGTCGTAAAATTCAAGTTCCTGCTGGCAAAAGCGTTACAAGTGCAGATTTTGAAAGCACGTTGGATAAAGACGATCAAGAGGATACTGATTTGGAAAGAAGTATGGAAACCTTAGATGAAGATTCAGACCCGGAAATGAATTTGCCCCTTATTAATTTCATGCCAATAATGGCAAAAGCTCAAGATCATTCTTCAAGTGAAGACTCTGACATGGAAAAAGATCAAGATCATTCTTCAGATGCAGACTCAGAAATGGACACTTCACTACCAAGTTTGACCGATAAGTCCGAGAATAAGTTGGATACAAATAATTCATCAGCATCAGTCTGCTTTGAGGGTAAATTGTTTCGATGTGTTTCTCCTATTTCGCTTGATTTAATAGATAAAGGAACTTGGCTTCTGGTGTGTTTTCCAACAAAATATCGAAATAGACAAAGAAATAAATATTTTATCGGACAAGTCATTAATATTACAGAAAATGACATTGAAGCCACTTTCTTAAGAAGTCGCCCCACCAAACACTCGTCAGGATATATTTATGGATTTCCAGAAGTTCCGGATGTTTCCACCTTTCATTTTAGCCAGGTTGTTGGAGAGGTTTTCCCAGTTCATGACGAGATAGAAGCATCTACGTCAAGAAGAGACATTTTAAAATTTAATTTGCATCAAAGTTGTTTAATTTAAATAATATGTTTAAACTTGTTACATTTCTATAGAAATAAATGTTTTTTTTGTAAAATTGGTGTTTTTGTCAGTTTTTTTGTGTATTTATATTTTTTTATCAATTTAAAAATTTTTTCAGGTTTTTCTATTCGCCTTCGTGTGGGTAGAATAGCAAATTTGACCAATTTAAATGGGTGTTTCTATTCACCCCACATTAAGGGTGAATAGAAAAAGAGCGTTTTTATTTTTTATTTGGAAAACCCCCTATTTAAAAAAAAATCTATTATGCGCTTTTTGATCTACAAGTCGAGACCTGTAGATTCCTTATTTTTTGTTGTCAGAAAGGTGACTACCATGTTAGCAACAGAGTAGGAAAGGTCCAAAACTGTTTCTATTCACCCCATTTCACCGGTAATCATTAAAATTGTGTGGAATTTCATCTATTTATAAACATCATTTTCACAGAATTTATCTATTTGTATATCACCATAGCGAGACTTCAATGACATCAGGCTTTGAGTTTGTAACTTTTTCTCAGATTCATATAACTGACGATACGTTGTCAGAAAGAACATGCAGAACATCATCCAAGTGGTGTATATTAGATAATAAAAATGGAGTTTTAATATTACCTGAGTTGAGTAACAATTCTTGGGAGTACATATACGTTTTTACATTGAGATCTTTATCAACAATTACAGAGTTAGTTATGATGGGTGCTGGTTTATATTATAACTTAAACAAAGTAACTTTATCCTGAACAATTGTATGCCACCCATATGGACATTGCCATGAACTAAAAACTGTGAGAATGTCTGAATAATTTTGAAAACAAGATTTTTGTTAGGAGGAATAATCATCAATGCAAGTTTGCAGTGCTTTAAGTAGTTGGTCTTGTTCCTTGTCCCTCAATTTCTCATCTCGGCTTCTTCTGTTTGATATGTCCTTTGAAAGGTATTTTGGACAATTTGCAAAGATACTTGGAATTACATCTGCCTTTAATTTTGGATACTTAAGGGGTACAGTAATGGTCCTACCTACCTGTCTTTTCGTCATGGAAGGTGGATTCCCAAATGATGCTGTTCTCAGCAGAGTGCAAATTACATACTCGGGTGTATTTTGTAACCACTAAATCACTACGAGGAATTGCATTGAGCCATCTTTTACGACAATCGCGAGACACAAATATAAGTTTAAAACATCAATAATGTTCAGTTTACATAGCATAGAAAGATGAGACTCAGAATGTGAGGTTAGTTGGCGAGGTTGCCACATATTCCAATTTTGAATGGAATATTAGACTTCACAAGCGACAGATTGAACGTAATATCGAAAATGTATTCTTGACATACTGAGGCAGATCAGAAAGAATAATCACATCATCACTGGAGCTGCGCAGGCCCCGAGTACATCTTGCAAATTCGCCCACAGGGAGGTACAACTAGTTAGTACAGATTTCGATACTGCTATATCAAACCTAGATATGACAACACCCCAGAGCCCAGTTGTTTGGCCTTGTACTCTCGGTGGTAACGGGTGCACTCGAATCTGAGAAAGAAGGGGGAGTTGTGGCTTTTCTCCATAGCAGTGGTATCTGCTCGAGAGATGTTTTTTCATCACCCAAAGTTATTTGCTGCCATTATCGCTCTCCCTCGAACCATACCTGGGGTGACTTACCTGAATACCTCGCTGTCAAGATCGACTTCCTGAACATCAGTTAGTCCGCTTCAGAGGTAGTTCTCCTCGATGATTTCAATGCCCATAATAAGCTGTGGGTGGGCTCAAACAAGACCGGCGCAGCAGGTCGGGCAATTGAAGCTGCCCTCTTATGCAAACTACCATCCTGTGGCCTCCCAGAAAAACTTACCAGTTGGGTGGCTAACGTTCTGTCTGGCCGCAAGATGTCCTGGTGTATTTGTCAGTTTTTAATGTCTTCTGGAAGATTCAGATTATGGGACGAGGTTTTTGCACTGGTCAATTCAAATGTTTGAATGGATATGGGTGCTTACTAGTTAATTTTTTACCTAAAAATCCGCAAAAATGCATCACAAAAAAGCTTCTCCATATCCAAATGTTGTAGGTGTTTGCAGCCAATAAATATTTCGAATGATAACAAAGCTCCGCGTTGCAAAAAAGCGTTTCCATTGTAGAGAAAGCCGGGCGATTAAGTGTTAGTAACTTCATGCATTCAATAATCATAGGTTTATTCATTATTGACTATGTTTTAACTCCCGTTTCCGTTTGTTCCAGAGAATTATGTCTATAGATGCTGGCTCCCATAAGATTCTCCAAACCTTAAACGGACATAAAAGTGATGTAACCTGCTGTGATTTCTATACAAATTTTACCTTAGTTACAGGATCGAGGTGAGTCTAAATTTGAAATCAATGAATCATGAAGATGTTGACTACGCGGTAATAACTCAGTTGCAGGGCGTAAAACTATATCTAGGAGGATCATAATTGTAAAAGATACGTATACAGTGAAAACCAAATTTGTCTGACGGCTTGAGTTCAATGTGTACCAGATAAGTGTGTATCAACACATGTTAGAAAGAGATCGAAGCCGGCTAAGGAGCAAAGGTCATTACGACATTTTGCCAATATGTTACACCAAAAAATGTTAGGTTAGGTTACTGTCAAACCCAAGAAGGAGGTCTGTTCGAACATGTAATGTAATATTTTGTTTTCATTTTGATTAGAATTATTATTTCATACACATTGAACTCAAGCCGTCAGGCAAATTTGATCCTCAGTGTATAATTTAGCCATAAAATATAAAAAAGGTATTGGATAACATAAAATAAAATATTCAGCAGTTGTATATTGATCTGAATGAGCAGCGCGTGACAGAAGTAGGCGTATAGGCAGTTTGTGACCATATTGAGTGAAAACATTGATTAACGTATCCAACCTTTGAGTGCCAACGGTGGCGTAGTGGTAGACGTTATGGGTCTCTTAATCAGTCGCCATGCGCTACGCGAGTTCGGATCCCGTCCCAAAAGAATGTTTCTCTTTGCTACGGATGTGATTGTCCGTAGGTGGTAGCAGACATGGGTAGTATTCGAATATTCAGTATTTTGAATCCTATTCAGAGTACATTTGGCTGGTATTCGAATACTATTCGAATATATTCGTATTTGGTATTAGACTAAATACTTTCTGCAGTATTCTGGATTCTGAATACCATTTCTGAATCCCGATATTCGAATACGCACTTTGAATTTAAATCGCGGCATTCGAATCATGCATTGGAGTCCTGTTTTCTAATACTGTTTGGCTATTATTATGAATGTTGCATACTAAGTGACATATAAATCCGAACACCCAGTTTAAATGGTTTTATTTTAATAAATTTTTTTATAAGTACTTAATGAAGCATAATAAGTAAATGATAAAAATTTCAAAATGATTGCACTGCTTTAAAGCCCTTTGACTTTTAATAATGTGTGGATGCACCCTGATGTGCTACGCATTCTCCAACGCGCCTAGTCATGCTTCTGATCAGGTGGTCAATGTCATTCCGGGCAACCACCAACTCCTCTCGAAGTGCTTCTAGAGTCTGAGGAGGATGTTGCAAATTGAGCAATCTCCTACCCATCATATCCCACACGTGCTCAATTGGGGATAAGTCGGGAGATCTTGGTGGCCATGGTAACAATGTGACATCATTATGTTGAAAGAAGACTATTGTGACTCTTGCAACATGTGGTCGGGCATTATCTTGTTGGAAAGTTGGATCTGCCAGGGTGTCAAGATAGGGTAAAAGATGGGGTTCTAGAACTTCGTGGATATAACGCTGCGCGTTCATGTTACCTCTAATGAAGATTAAAGGTGACCTGGAACCATAAGCTATAGCACCCCAAACCATAACTCCAACAGTGTGATGAACATGTCTTTCAACAAAAAACTGTGGATTCCTCCTTTCACCAGGTGGCCTTCTAACCCTGGCACGACCATCGTGCATGCCTAAACAAAATCGAGACTCGTCACTAAAGACAATACTGTTCCATTCCTGATCCCAGAGTGACCGTTGTCTGCACCACTCAAGGCGATTACGTCGGTGTTCTCGAGTTAAAGGGAGGACCCAGTGTGGCCGGTATGAAAACAACCCAAAACTTCTCATTCGTCGGTAAACACTTCGCATGCCAATAGGTCTTCCGTGTTCTGCAAACCATTCATTTGCAATGGACCTGTTAGTGGAGAATCGGTCCCTTAAGGCCAATAATCTTAGGCGGCGATCTTCACGGTCTGTTGTTCTACGGCGGCGTCCAGTGCCCCTTGCTCTTTGCGTACGGCCTTCTCGAAGCCATGCCTGACAACACCTAACCACAGTGTCTACACTTCTTTGCACTCTAACTGCGATTGCCCGAAAAGAAAGTCCAGCTTCCCGAAGTCCCACTATACGGCCCCTATCAAACTCACTAAGTTGACGAAATCGTACAGGTCTCCGTACTCTAGGCATCGTAACCGATCGTAAAGGATGTCAAGAACCAAAATCCGCCAACGTTGATTCTTTACTGCGGCTGAAATATTCATTTTTAGAGCGTTAGTGAATTAAAAAAAAGCAGTATAAAAACCGGAATGTCCAACTGATAAGGCTGAAAATGTATTCACTTGTTATTTACAGTAAGATAAATACATTCACCAACTTTTATTGAAATAAAACCATTTAAACTGGGTGTTCGGATTTATATGTCACTTAGTATACTTCAAATTATTGTAAATACCATTTGAAGGATTTCCGTAAAAATTTGCAGGTACAAGGATATCCTTTGTTTTATGAATACGGCTCATTGTTTGGAGGCGATGAAAATTGTAGTTTGGGAGCTGTATTCCGGAAATGGTTATTCATTGTTTCATATTTGTTATCAGTGAAATACCTTCTATTATTGAGAGGGCTGGTGATCTCAGTGATACTATGCATCTGCTAGACATAATAAAGTCACACATATTTTCCTTACGTCTGCCATGGAAACAAAAATATGATAGATTTCTTTTATATAGTTTGATATATAGAGGTCGAAGATTTGACTTATCCCTTTCTTTGAGACCTCCAACGAAAGCATCGGAAGTATAGAGTCAGTCTACTTGACCGCATTTCTTTATTTTCAGTGATAAGACTGTACGAGTATGGGACTGGCAACCCGGTTCCGGATTCGTCGAAAGACCGAACTCCCCACTAAAAGGACACAAATACCAGGTGACTTGCGTAAAGATTTCTCCGCAGGGCTCAATGCTGGTTAGCTCATCGGTCGACGGGACTACCGTCCTTTGGAATACACACTCGTGCGCGAAGCTGTTCACAATGAGCCAGATAGAAGGGAACCCTGTCCGAGTATGTAGGTGAGACCATTTGCTGAAAAAACAAATATTGTAGAGAAGAATGTCTTAAATATTTAGCTGAATACATCGGCATATGTATCGTAAAAAAACCTATAAAACGTCAAAAAAAACCTATAAGATGTCATCTTGCAAACTAGGTAGTTTTAGGGCGCAAACAGTCATTACACGTTTGCTCAGTAGGATCATTGTGAACGTTCATCTAAGGAGGAATCACTCAACTAAACTACACGCATTATTGGTTGCATATGTTTTGTGTGACCAAATGATCCTTGTCTGTAGTTTTATCTCTGAGAAAAAAGTTGATTGAATAGCAAGATCGCATCTGGATGATTTATCTGTATAAAATCAATGATATTTGCTGTGTCAGAAAATCATTACTGAATAAGCTGCCAACGAAGTATAACTGTTGGCTGTGCCCGAAGGGTTATTTTTATGGTGTGCTTTCTGAAGAGAGGTTATGTTCAAAGTTATAGATTACGAAAAACTGAGGAGAATTACGGGAAATAATCACCGCACCCGCGTTGTGTGTAATTAGTGTTAGAATGTATATGGCTTGTAATTCGACCGCGTACAGTGAATATAAGTATTTCTTATCTCTCTCATTTTTGAAACTCAGCAAATTTGTATATGTAATTTCCAGAATGGATAAGAAAAATTGGATGCGCAACTAATTTTTAGCTTTGAATCTCAATTAAGTGTATTGAGTATTTGAGACAAGAACCCAATGAAATTATCATCAACACATACAACTTACAGCTTAGACCTCCAGTAACGCCATCTCAGAAGCATGTTTTACATCACATCAGAGCCAAAGATTGATAACAAGCCTCATGACGTTTAGGCAACACGTACAACTAAATGCGAAGATAACATCTTGTAGAAAATCCTACATAATGTCAAAAAACAACAGTATAATGTCAAAAAAAATCGGCTTAATGTCACTTTTCAAGATATACGCGATACCCATGCGGTAGGATTGGTATTGGTAGTATGTTTGACATTGAACTGTCCTACAGTAAGTATCCGCCATGTCATTACCATGAATACGCGTATGTCCAAGTACTACTGTTCGACTGAAATTTCGTTTTCAGCCAGTTTCGGTCCAAAATCAGAGTTTCGGTAAACTCCAAAGCGAAACTAAGTTCGAAGTTTTACGGGCGCCTTCGGGCAAATTTATTCAGACCAAAAGTCGAATTTGCTAGGGGAAAATGTTGAAAAATTTTCATTGATATTATATAATATCAGACTGTTCAATTATGATTATTAGATTAGGTTGCAGCATCAGTGAATTTGAGTTTTTTAAAACACTACAGAAATCTAGGTACTTTTTCAAGTAATTGAAGGTGGTAGATAACTCAGAAATTATTGGAGAATCCCAGTTCAAGCTCAATTCTAGGCAGAATATTTAAAACTGTACAAACTAAATTTCCTAAAAAGTGTCATAGTTTTTTAATTAATTAATTAATCTCTAACAAATAGTTTTTGTTTTGGGTCTTTGAATAATTCTTATCGAAGACCACTATTTATTAGCTTAACGATACCTAAATCATCGTTTAAAATATCATCATGACCAATAATATCCATTTTTAAAGACTAAAAATTAATTAGACGATCTTTAAACTGCAAAAGTTGATCGTTTAAGTTAAATAAAATTTTAAACGGGGTTTAAGTACTTGTACAATAGAAATCGTCAAATTAAACTCGATTTCCGTTTAAACTAACGTATTCGTGCAACAGGCCATAAGTTGTTATTTTTGTTTTATTGTCTGTTTTTTATAATATTATATTGGAAACAAAAGGCATTATTTATTTTGTGTTTTATGAGACAAATAATGAACTGGTAATTATTATTACTAATACTTATTTATAAAAACCGAGTTTGTTTTTTCTTTGAGATACACTACTATCTTACCTCCCATCCTCCCATATCGGTCGGACACTACCAAGAACACACATTAGTGAGATATTAGCTACTTTCCAGTGATCCTGTTAAGTTGCTCTGAGTAACTTTGTGTAACTCAGTGGTGCTCAGTACCAATACCGTTCCACTGCACGTTGTATCCTCATGCTTTGTTTCTGGAGCAGTTAGAGACCGTGTCACTCTCAAACCAAACCACTGGAAAGCAGCTCTGGTGCTTCTCTGCAACACCGTCTATACTCCAGCGTTCTAGACTCGTCCTATACTAAAAAGTGAGTTCCAACAAAATTTTATAAGCCAGTATTGCCTTAACCTCCGCTTGGCTATCTAAAAAGATAGTTCTCCGTCTACTGAATATAAGATATTACAGTGCATATGTGGTTAAAATTTGTACATACAGGATAGAGTCTCATAATCCACCTGTCTGGAATACAGTGGCTCACTCCTCAAGAGGATTTGAAAATTTTGTGCTGGGTCCGAAATCCTGACACTAGATTCCTCTACTCTTGTTGAATCATCTATGAACTTGAGTCTAGGTATACAGGGAAAACCAAATTTGTCTGACGGATTGAGTTCAATTTGTACGAGAGAGACGAGAAGTGTGTATCAGCACACGTTAAAGAAAAGAAGCCGGCTGAAAAGCGAAGGTCATCACCACATTGCCTAGCAACGGTGACGCAAAAGGTCGTACAATCTCCCGCGATGCCACACCCGAAATTGTTCACAAAGGCTTCTACAATAGGTTAGGTTACTGTCAAACCCAAGAAGGAGCTTTGTCCGTACATTTAATTTAATATTTTGTTTTCATTTTGATTAGAATTATTTATTTCAATTTTGATGCTACTTAGTGTTTTAACTTATTTCAGAATAACCTTTGATTTGTACCAATGACGATAGAATGAACACATCCTGAGTTATTGTAACAAAAATAGCATTACGCAATACAAATTATCCCTACCTGCGTCTACGCAGGACTACACTACCAAAATCTATGATCAAGGAGGTGGAAACCTTGCCTTGGAATATACTAGATGCGCTGTTGCCAAGTGAGCCAATGATGCAGTGTTGCAGTGTGGCATGACGTTTCATTTCGCTCTAAAATGGAGCGCCGTTAGGACCGATCCGGAATCGATCCTGAACAGATTGGAGACAACTTACAATTCAAAAATGTGCAAGCTCAAATTAAAACCATTATCGGGACGTAGAGAATAAACTAACGCATACTTTCAACATGCATCTTAATTCAAGGAACTGATTGCCGAGTAGGCAACGCGGTGATGAGCTTCGCTATGCAGCCGGCTTCTATCTCTTTCTAACACATGTGTCTATACATACTTCTCTCTGGTACACATTGAAATCAAGCCGTCAGACAGATTTGGTTCTCAGTGTATGTCTGCTGGGTCCTTGAATTCCGCTTTTATTGAACAAGTAGCACTAAATTTACAATCAAATTATTTCTTGAGAATGGTGATATCGCTCTCGCTCATCGACGCTTTTTTATTTTAGGTTTTCTCCAGATAGCGCGATTCTAGTGACAGGTGGAGACAATGGCGCTGTCTGTGTATGGGATTTGGTACATCGTAGTCTTATAAAGTAAGCAATTTCTGATTAGGAAGTGAATATTTTCTCATTTTATATGAGTTTTCGATAAATGACAAAAACATTATTAAAAATCTTGTGATAGTATGCACACATTCAGATCCACAATTCAGAAAAAAAGGGGAGAAGCATGAAAACAAAGAGTTGTCTAAAGTTTAAAGTCCTTGTGAGAATAACAAGGAGAAGCATCGGAAGAAGACGAATATGGAAATAAGATGATATCAAATAGCAAGAAAAAGGCTGTCCATGTTTGGCCGTATCACTAGTTTGTTCCAAGACGAATATGCTTTCGAAATTTCATAGGATTCAAAGTAACATTTAATAACAATATAATTCCGTTTCCTTCAACCATGGGTTAAACTCCAGGTTCATGCTTTGTTTCTTTGTATATCTCGAATCGTATCTGATATCATTCATAGACTACAACTTTTTGTAGGACTCTGTTTGAGCACGAAGGTACTACTCAGTCTCTAGCATTTACTCCAGACTCTCAATATTTGGTAACGGCCTGTTCTTTGGAAGTCATGAAGATATGGTACGTCCAAGACCTCATCGATACAACGACAGATACTTGCACTGCCATTGGACGTGTGGACAATGCTCACGATATGGGCGTGTTTTGTGTGGACATTTCCAATCGGGTCACTTTTGACGGTAAATAATGATAATGATTTTATCGTCTTGATTAACCGATATAGTCGTAAAACTATCATTACACGATTGCCCATTTAAATCTGCCCACCTGGATATTTCGTAAACTGCTCATTCTAGAAAAGTTCCAGACCTTCAAGGTCAACAGAATATTTTTAAATAGAACTCGGAATTGTAAAGAGGAGCAAATTTTACGTCCAAATATCACAATGGTCATGACCTTGAACATTGGCTTCGATGCCATTTCAAGGTCAAATCAAGATATTGAAAACAATTTGCTCTAGCAAAAATATTCAACATCACAGAGGTTTGTGGGGATCACCTTGGCCGTGAATTTGACCATGACCTTTCAGGTGAAGTCACATTGTCCAAAGAAAACCTCCCATTTGTGACCTTGACCTCAAATAGCATTTAAGCTTGACGCGTCCTTGACTTTGAAAAATGAGAGCCGTTGAACATTTTTGTTAGAGCAAATTGTTTTTGATTTGACCTTGACATGGTCTTGAAGGCAATCGGACGTAAAATCTGCTACTCTTTTCAATTCCGAGGTAAAAAAGGAGGGTTGGGTTTGAAAATATCCGCTAGACCTTGCAATTACCTTGAAGGTCATTGTCAGGACCAAAACCATTTTGCCTAGACTTTCTTTTGGATTGCGCAGTTTTCGAAATATTTAGGTGTTTTTTATGGCTGTGGTATGGTATTATAGGTTTTCAAAGCCCAACTTGGAATCAAACCTATAAAAGCCCAGTTCTCAGGGAGAATAGTTTAGTGAATTCTCAAAAAAATAAATTGAGACGAAAAGCATGGTATATTTGATCGTATCGAAATACAAATAAAAAACAAGCGGATTGTATTAAACGGAGATGAGTATTGTAAAATACGTTTTATAGTTTTAGTTATGAATTTCTGAGAAACAAAGAAAAGAAGAACAATTTTACATTTAAACGAAAACCTTTTTTGAATGTCAGGTGAGGTGATGATTAATGTTCATTCCTAATGCTATTAGTTACCACCATGCTAAATGCCTATTAATTTTTTACCCACAAATCCCTTCAGGATTCGACTATTTCGGGTGTTTCAAATTCAACTCTCACCATTGGGATCTCGGAAACGGTAAGAGATACGATGTCGATTAAACGAGGGCATTGTTGTGCATTGAGATGAGATTTCATAATAAAAAGAACATTAACATTGCCACTTTTCCTGCTTTACAAGACGACATAACTAGAATTTCAATATGACGTTCCGTCTCTTGTCCTCAATCAACTTTATTTTTTCTTATAGACGCTGTATGATTTTTGCAAAGTTTTAAATTTTGATTACAAAAATATGTGTTGTATACATTGACATTGTCAAACCGAAAAAACTAATATCATAGTTGGCTTTGAAAATGACAATTTATCAAACGTTTATCCTTTTGAAGCTGTTGTTCTCATCATGACGGTAAACAACTCCAATTTTGACAGTTATGACAAGTTGCATGCAGAAATATTGAATAATATTAATAAACCACTAAGTAATAAACCTACAAAGCGCGACAGAAAGTGAGCGAAATGCACATAAAGGTAGCAGTATGTTATGTTGACATTTTTCAACGCGCATCCTTGGCGACAGGATTGGCTTGATACGAATACATGTATCCCTTGTGCAGTTTAACCTCCCATCTCTAGACTTCGTATGCTGATGATATAAATTTAATATTATGGAACAAATGACTATCTGATAATTTCAAAGCCTACTTAGAAAATCCTGTTTTTTTTAATCACTAAGGTTTGGCAATGTCAATGTAAGACATAGTATACATTTTTGGAATCAATTCTATTGAATTGTGCAAAAATCCACTATGGCGTTTATAAGAACAATTAAATTTGAAGATTCTAGACCAGTGGCGCTCCCAGAATTTCAGTCTGGGAGGGGTGAAATGGAAAGTAAATTCTCAGCGTAACGTACTGAAGTATTATAATGATTTAACATTAAAAGCATAATTTGGCAAACTTCTTTCTCCCGAAATGCGCAACTTTCCCTATTTAACCGAATCGTATCTCTTACCGTTTCCAAGCTCCCAATGGTGAGGGTCGAATTTGAAACATCCGGTATGCCTGGACAGACCGATTGCCTTAGGCAAAATTAATGATGCTTGTAGTATTTTGTGTCATATGTTTCCTACTTTCCAGAAGAAAACCCCTTAATCCGTCGTTACAAACTAGCAACAAGCGGCAACACCAACGAAATCAAAATATGGGAAATAACGGCCACATCGACGTTAAAACACAAGACGAACATCGCTCACCAAGTCACCGTCCAACTATCCGATACCTACAGTGGGCATACATCTTCGTTGACTTGTATCAAGTACAGTCATAATGGCCGGTACCTGGTGTCTTCCGGACTGGACAAATTGGTCAAGATCTGGGACCAATCCGGCAACTGCATCGCCACGTTGGAGGGACATCGACGTTACGTCAGCTGTGCGACGATATCCAGAGATATGTCGCTTATTGCTTCGGGTGAGTCGTACTTACCATGGATGTTGAGGATCCAGTGACGTACGAGGTCTGTAAATTAAGTGATGATTTTTCAATTTTTTTATTCAAATATTATTACGATTTTATATTGTTACCCTCAAAATAACTTCCGTCTGAAGCCACACAGCGCTGAAGACGGTTCTTCCACTCCTCATAGCAGTCAACCAAGTCCGGTGCCTACAGTGTTGCCAGATCGAGCGCTACTTTGTCAGTCTCGTCACTTAATTTACAGACCTGGCCCCTCAGGGGCCCTATATCAGAATCTATAGAGGAGCTCCACCTAATTGCGGCGGATCGCAATTGGGGGTAGAATTTGACTGATATTTACAGGAGAAACATAAACGCTTACATTGAGTATGACTTGTCACGCAGGATTTTTTCTCAGTCAGAGGGTGTAGATTATTGATGAATACTTGTCGAACGGCTTTTGAGGTCCAGCCGCAAAAGAATCGTCAGGTGGCCTAGTTTTCAGGGTTAATGTACAGAGAAATGTGTGAAATATGTATAATGAGTGCGTATAATTACCAACGTTGAGGGCAAATAAATTTACCAGCAACAAAAAATTGAGATAAACCCTCGCCACCGCCTCACAACACCCACCCCCAAGTTTTCTTATGTCTAAATTGTTTTCAAAAATTATCAGGATCTGAAACGCCAAAAAACGAAGTTTGAACGATTTTTACTTTTTTGTTTTAGGCCTTTTTCTCTGCCGCCACAGGTTCGATTTTCAAAAACTAAAGGTTTTGCGTCCTTGGCATAGTAGTAACATGTGTAAACATTTCATCTAAATCCGAGCGGTACTTCTCAAGTTATAGGTGTTTATACAGGGTGTAAACGTTATCGTAGTCAGTATTGAAATGGGTAATAGGGGAGGTCAAAACAAGTCAAAAAGTTCATAAGACCCATGGTCCAAAAGTCAATAGATTTTTGTCTACACCTTGGGAATAAACATTATTATACATTATGATGAGGAAGAGAGATGGAAATATACAAAAGTATGTAGGTGCGTGAAAGACACTCGATTGTAGGATCCTATGTGGCAGCGTCGGAGTGTGACGGACAACGGGGTAAAGTAGAAGAGTGATAAAAGAGAGAGATGGCAGAACGGGCGCTGGCGCCTACCGCTTAGACGGATGCGCTCAACAAATGCGATTTGTTTCTCCCATTCGCAGAGTTGCCGATACCAATATGTCATATTTCTAAGAAATCTAAGTCTACCCAAATTTCGGGAAAAATAGCTGCGGATTCCACATAAGAGTAGTCCAAAAATGAAAAAAGTTCAAACTATTAAAATTGTATTAATGTTTCATGGTTCAAATCATATTTTTCATGTTTGTATATTGTTGTATAAATGATTTTGTAATCCCTATTCTTGTTGCCAGTAGAGATACAACAGTATTGAGAGAAATCATGGACCGCTAGATAGGGCTACAACTACCATATGACTATCAAATAGTAGTGATAAACAGGGTTTGTTTATAGCACAGTTGCCTGGTGTGGCGAATTTGCGCCATAGGGGCGATTTGACAACTTTGAAGGACAACTATAACGGTTACTTTGGTGCCCGGTATTCGGGAATCTAGCAATACCTGATGATTCCTAACGTTTATTACGCCAGATTGTTTGCTGACTTGCGCAGTACAACATGACAATCAACGTGACTGAGCACCTGGTAACCCTGGTTTAAGGTGTTATATTTAAAGAGCTTGGGGCAGTTAGGTATCTAGGTCACATTTTTTAATGTATTTCGAGAAATCCGTAATGTTGAGTAAATACTAGATCACGTTTCTTGCTTAGTTTGCTGAAAATTCTACAATAGACGTACATTTTGAGAAACAGAGATTTGGTGACGACAAAATCGTAAAAATATAACGCATTTTCTTAAAATAATTTCTTTGTTGAAAAGACTGTGGCTTGATGACCCATTGAACGAGTATAGTGTCCCGCTCCGCTTTGAATATTCGAAACACTATACTCCAGCAGCATTCAGCTTCAATGTTATCTTTGTGAAGTTCTAACGTCTAGGCCATGCTGATTAAAAGCTTGAATGAATCAACACTTAACTCTAAATTCCCCACAATTCGGGAACCTCTACTCAAATTGGCAACACAGCGTATCTGCCTATTATTCTCATTCGTGATACAGGTCTGCGGTTAACGGTAGGAAATATGTACGAATAGCGATGAAAGTAGACGAGCCGATGCGCTGTGGCCAAGAAATGATTTGCCATGTATAACAATGGTTTTTCCTAAGGTGTATATGGCTTTATACTTTACAACTTTAAGTGCTTTATATCGACCACAATCACCACAATCTTACTAATTTTTATAATCTAATCTAAAACGTTTTTAAATTTTGTAATTAACAAATAAATGGCATTAAGTTTTTCTAAGTTAAGCCAAAATTTGTAGTCAGTAAGTAAGTTTCATTAAACTGAATATTTAAAACACACATGACAACAGTGCGTCGGTCTTTCATCACTCTTATCGAACCGGCAATCGATCGCAAACAGTAACAGTGGTTAGTTATCATTTTGCATAGATAAATTACTTTATCGTTTTATCGAGCAGAGCATCGGACATGTTGTTTTACTTTTGTTCACGAACGTCGTCGTGTTTATTTACAATGTTCTTGAGTCAAGAGTTCGCCGGCATGTTGTTAGTTTACGGCGAAGCTCGTCAGAATTCAAATCTTGCAGCTCAAATTTATGGTGACAGATTTCGCCAACGGGTACACCCAGACAGAAGGACATTTGTGCAAGTGTACCAAAGACTTCGAGATACAGGAAGTGTTCAGCCCACTAATATTCGCACTCGTGAAATCAATGCAGATGTCAGCACTCGGGAATTAAGAAAATCCTAATACCATTGGTGAAGGTCATTTTCAACAACGTTTTAAAATAAATATTTGGGCGGGTATTCTTGATGATCACGTAATTGGCCCTTACGAGTTACCCCCAAAGTTGTCAGGAGAAGGATACCTTAGCTTTCTAGCCAATAACCTACCAGAACTTTTGGAACAGACCTTACCTACCTAGAAAATGGCCAGCAAGATCTCTTGACCTCAATCCGATGGATTTCTGGTATCGAGGAGAACTTAAAGGGATGGTTTATGGGGCTGGTCCAATAACAACTGAAGCACAACTTCGCGAAAAAAAATTTAATGCGTCTGAAATAATAAATGGACAACTTCGAGGACCTAGAGTAAGGAGAAACTGGGTTCGTCGTAATGAAGCTTGTGTGGAAAGTGGAGGACGACATTTTGAACACCTTTAAATACAAAAAAAAAAATTATAAATGGATTTGTTTAATCCGTTCAATAAACTTTCACACACCGGTGAAGCGCTGAGACAGTGGTATAGTCCGTTTTTTTTAATTGTTTGCATTTTACGAGTACATTATCAAATAATGAAATAATACCAAAGAGCCAAAAATAACACACTCCATCTTTATTTACACTGCGTTGCATCGTAATTTGCGTCTGGCATTGCGGCGTTGTCAGATGTTATATGAAACTTTAACCCCCTCTGTCACCCATTTAAATAACGACTATCATAACGTTTACACCCTGTAGGATTAGCGGACAGACCGACGGAAATGAGTGACATGGTTTTTCGTGATGTACAAGTCACTCAACATCCAAAAAATATAATATCTCATTTCCGAAAATTTTCGGCATTACAATATCCTGCGACTTTTATTTTATTCATTTTATTAATTTCTTTCATCGCTCTTGCGAATATGACATAGCTTAAATTTGAAGGGTCTTCAGGTTCCAACGATAAACTGATCATCATCTGGGACCTGTCTGGAAACCTAACGCTGGACTCGGAGCTCCGTCACTCGCACAACTCAGTGTCAGGTGAAAGTGGCCTTCATGAATCCGCCCTGGCACAGAACTTGGACTCCAGTGCTAACGAGGTGGTTGTTTTGGAGAAAAATGACGAAGTAGCAGACGGGGCTGTGAACAGTTGTCATTTTCATGGAAAGGACTTACTAGCTATCGGTTCAGGGTAAGTTATACTGTATATATTTTCACCCTCTTTAATTTTAACCCTGAGAGGGCTCCATTTATTATGTAAGGCGTTTTTTGAGGGTGAGATGTCACGAGAGCCAAAGCTCAACCTACTCCGCCCCTAATCGCACTAGGGATTTTTCGAAATTTTCTGTGTTTAGTGTAAATGCGTTGAATTTATTTTACAAACGCAATTTGCTTCATTATTTCTAAGACTAGAATTCAAAATAACAACAATAAAATACTTAAATGCTTAAATTTTATACCAAAATTCATAAATTGGGAAAAATGACGTGCTATTATTTATTAGGTGATATTCGACTCGACTTCCCCCTCCCTGAACACATCGTAATTAGCCTAACCAGCCTACAGCAAATTATACACGGTGTCCCAATATTCTATGGCCATAGAAGTACCACGTATTTTTAGACTCAAAATAAGTCGATTGGACATGATTTACCTTTATGCAAAAGTGCTTTGTTTGTTCGTTAGAGGGCGACAAAGTTTTCTTTTTAAAACACATTTTACTATGCACTCTCAGTGAGAGAGTATCTCGATCAAAAGTTTCCAGGCAGATGGATAAGGCGGTCTGGTACAATACCGTGGCCAGCCCGATCACCTGATTTGAATCCTTTAGATATTTTTACTGGGGAACTGTAAAAGAAAAAGTGTATTTCGAGCCGATTCAAAATATAGCTGAGCTACGGCAAAGGCTATTGGAAGCAGCTGAGTTTATTAATAACTGTGGATTCGCTCGTTTAATAACCCGATCTTTTTTAAGAAGATGTCGAGCGTGTATTGCGGCTGAAGGAAAACAGTTTGAGAATTTGTTGTAAAGGTAAATCATCATCAGCAGCATTTTGACGCCCACTGTTGTGCAAACAGTTATCCTTAAGGGTCTTTGTGCGTTTTCATAATCGATGTTTAATTAGGAAATTTTGAAAAATTTTCATCATTTTTTTTTCAAATAAAAATTGTGCATAAGTTAACGAGTAATCTTCTAAGTGTTATACCATTTTGGAATCGTTATTAAATGCGCCAACTTTTAAGGTTACTTGCCAAACTCTCGTAGTACATTTTTTTCCAGTACAGCCAGTTAAAGTTGAGCAAAGTTTTACTTTGGAATACTTGGTTGGGAAATAAGTGGCAATTTTTCCTGAACGAGAAAAGTTGGCAGTAAGGTTGAGACACCAGTTTGAAGATGCATTATTCATCATTACATTGTAAAAATAAAATCCAAAAAAAGTTAATATTTGTAGTAACAGGAGTTGACAGACTGCCGTAGGGTGTGAAATTTCTATATCTTTTTCAAAGACCTATAATTTTCAAAACACATACATAAAATTTTTTTAAATATTTTTCTGATAGCTGTTATGAATTTGCCTATCACCCGGTTTCGGCTTGACGTCGACTTCTGGGACACCCTGTATTTTTGAAACCGCCAGTCCAATTTGAATGAAATTTGGAGCGCATGCATTTTGCTGGACGTCCTAATATTTTATTTTCACAAAGAACTCGAAAGGGTTCGAGAAGGGTGAACACTAACCCCCCCCCCCCCCTCCCTTCAAAATTATAGCAGAATTTTTTGCAACTCTCCCAACGACTCTTATTTTTTTATTTAAAAGATCCTTTTATTTACTTCATTTCTTGCCCCTTATAAAAACAGGCCATTTCACATAGTTTTCGAGAAAAATAATGTTTAGGTTGCCTGACAAATTGTCCAGAGATTCCATTTTGATTGATTTTCTAGAATACGTTTTACCTGAATTATTAGAAGAACCGCCTCTGAATGTGAAAAGAGACATGTTTTTATGCATGATGGTGTTCCACCTCACTTTGCGCGTGCTGTAAGAAATGACTTGAACGAAGAGGATCCCATTCAATGGTCACCTCCTTCACCGGATCTTAATCCTTGCGATTTTTTTTATATTTGTACGAAGAGCTTTTAAAACAAAGGTATACGAGGTTCAGATAGACCACGCCAACTATGGGACAGGACTCAAAATGCTACAAACAAAATAAAGAATAATCTAGAAAAAGTTAACTATTCAGGGTGGCTCATCCATCTGTCGACGGAATATTACTCAAACACAAATACATTTTGGGGAAATTTATTTATGGTATGTTATACACGACATTTGAGGGCACATTTCAAAAATATTGGCCATTATACAGGGTGTCCCAATTGCGACCTACATATCAAAGTTGTGATTTTTCAAATGGAATGCCTCAAATTTTATTGCATATTTGGATAAACCAATTCAAAAGAAGAGGATTGATGTAACATACTATGGGGTTTTGGTAATTAGCTACGGAGATATAACGTGTTTTGTCTAGAAAAACCCCCCACTTCGGCAACCCCTCAGTCCGCCATTTTGAAATTTGAAGTGCTGAATTTTGTATCAAAAAAAACTTACAGACCTCAGCTTTTATCTTATTTGTTACTTTTTCGAATTTTGATTTTTGCTCATACAGGGTGGTCAAAAACGCAAATTGTAGTTTTTCTCAAAAATTTCAAATGCCCCCCTGTATATTTGTGCAAGTTTGGATTCAATTTTTTATAAGCTTTTTTTTATACTTGGGAACATCTTGATGCAACTCATTTTTCTTTTCTCTAAAAGAGACAACAATGAAGTAAATAAACAGATCTACCTGCTTGATAATTCAGAGTCGTCGGGAAAGTTGATAAACAATTCTGCTAGAATTCAAGCAAAACACGTGATTCAAATTCCATTCAAATCGGACTATCAGTTCCAGAATATCTGAAAAAAATGTGTTTTAAAAAGAAAACTTTGACGCCCTCTAATGGACAAACGATGCACTTTTGCATGGAGGTAAATTGACTTATTTTGAGTCTAAAAATACCGTGGTAACCATAACCAATAAAAATTAATCTGATTGCGGAAAGAATAGTTCAAATAATTTCAATGGTTTGACCTTCGACTAAGTATTGATAAATTTATTAAAAAACAATATAATTATTAATTGTCCTATTAAAACAGTAATAAATACTAGAATTAATAATGTATGATCCTGAAAGAAAGGTAGTTTCTCTATAAAGGATGATATTCTGTCTTGTAAAAGAAGGGATTTTCATGTTAAAATTTCTAAAAAAAGATTAATCTTTATATATGCTACTTCTACGTCCACGGAATATTGGTACAGCCTGTATGTAGAGCCCCCTCCCACTTCAGTTGGCCCACTTCAAGATTTGTACCAAAATATGCCTTTATAAGCTAAACATGACAAAACTATTTACTTCTAAAACAATTTATTTTCTCAAAAACATTTTAGATATACTCTAGTCGTAAAAAATACATATTTGAAATCACTTAGACCTATAACTAATAGGACATCTGAACAAATAAACAATGTGCGAAGAAATGCGAAAGCAACAATCGAAAGATTACCATTGGGTAACATCACCTTTATTTTTTATTACGGCTGAAATTCTTTGGGGCATAGTATTAACCAAGTTTTGGCAAAAATTTGGTGTAAAACAATCCCATATTTCTTAAAGCTTTTGTCTCAGTTCGGTGATTGTACGAGCAGGATGTTGTCGTAGAACCTTTTTCATCTCGTGCCACAAAGTTTCAATAGGTGACAGATCTGGACTGCTAGAAACCCATTTCAAAAGTGGTACACTATTTTCTTCCATCCATTTTATAGCCTTTTTTGAGGTATGGCACGCTGGACCATCTTGCTGAAACACAAAATCTTGGCCGGCTGTCAAACATTCTTCGATCACTGGTAAAAGCAATTCTTCTAAAATTGCCAAATATTTGTTTGTATCCACATTTCCATCAATAAAATGAAGTTTTCCTACTCATTTCGATGACATACTGCACCAGACCATAATGGATGCTGGAAATTTCACTTTTCTCTTCAGTCAACATGGAATGCTTCATTTTTTTTGCGAATAACTCTACTGCGACTGTCACCAACACAAACTTCGAATCGGCCCTCATCACTCCATTGTATTGCACACCATTGTTGAGGTGTCCATTGTCTATGTTCTTTAGCCCATCTAAGCCGATTTTTCTTTTGCAGTGGAGTTAATAGTGGCTTTTCTTTGGCCTATAAACAAGTTGTGCAACTTTAGGGTTTTTACTTCACTTTTTTTATAAGAAAACAGTTTATGGGCCTCTCTATGACAGAGCACTTAATTGTAAATAATTGGCACGCCTGTTTTTCACGATTATTCTTCTTAATGCTCTTCGGTCGGCATTTGTGATATTACCTTTTTTCACATATCGTGGCTTAATATTAACTGAACCGGTTACGTTATATCTTCTAACAATATTTCTCACACTGTACCGCGATAAGTCTAACAAAGTTGCAATTTCTGAGTTTGATTTCCCAGAATTAAAAAATTTAATTATCAGTAACCGAATTTTCTCACTAATAACCTTTCCTCTACCCATTTTGAAAACCTTAACTACCCAAAACTATTTTAAACGTATTCTGACAGCTGTGATTAATAAAAACAATCGGAATGGCTTTTATTTTTCACAGCCACCTATGCGTTATAGACTTATTTTGCATTGAAATGAAAATAGGCTGATATGCTGTAATTGCAACATGTGTTATTTTTATGCTGCAAATTTGATTAGGGAGTGATAAAGTTGGTGTTTTCTACTATATATTATCAAAATATTCATTGTTAATATTTTAAACCTATAACACCCTGCTACATTTTTATTATTTGTGTTTGATAAGAAAAAAACTAATCTTTCAATAGTTGGGCCAACTGAAGTGGGAAGGGGCTCGTATGTTATGGGCAATGTTGATATCAAGACGAACAGATGGGAAGTATTAACGATATTCATAGTCCTAGTAACGAATTCAAGAAAAACAAATATTACCTAAAGCTGGAATCTGCAGCTGACGTGGAATTCTTTTTCCTTAATTCCAGCAATACGATTAGAATATTCCTCAACGATAAACGACGATTTCGTTTAGTTTTTTGAACGGCATTAATTCTTTCCATGAATCGAC